ATCATGACCTGAGCCGAGATCAAGAGTTGGACACCCAACCGTCTGAACCACCCAGGTGCCCCTAAAAGCAGATATTTAAAAAGACTTGTGAAGGCCATGACTTCGCTTGTAATGAAGCCTGGTTAATTATTTCTTATGTCCCAGGCCTAACTGACCCAGGGCCATGACTTGGCCAAAAACACTTGACCCCCAACACTGGCTACCTCTCTCAAAAGGCTCTGTTTAAGTCAAGACAGATCTCTTCCTGTTATTTCAAAGCACATGTTCTTTTGGCAGAGGCTCATGCTGTCTTAGAAAATCTACTACGTTAGATTTGCTTTGAGCCAGTGTGTTAGCTTCATAGGATGTGATTTTTAAATGCTACTTAAAAATACACGTTGTACGTCTTCTGTTTGAGATGAGGCTTTTAAGGAGTAATAGACACCACAATAAAAGCCAGCGTGGTTTCTATTGTCAATAAGAGAGGAATTTGCATGGCGTGCTGCTTTTTCATGAGGAGCACTTGCGTAGAGCATCTCTTAGCAACACACAAATCAGCTTTGACACCTGATTCATCTTTAATATTCAGGTTCACATCAAGTCTTCCCAGTGATGGGACAGATGGAGTCTTTTAAACCAAGCAAGTGAAAGGTGTCACTTTGTGATTTTTCCATCTTTAGGTTGGCAGCAGCCTCAGAGTTTTCCTTTGGTAACATTTTGGAACTGGAATTTTTTTCAGTGTGGCCTCTTTGGTCCTCCAACTCCTCGGTTTCCATTTCCACTTCATGTTTTTCATCCCCAAAGACTTTGTAATGTTGGGATCAATTTTGAGATCAAATCTAAACTCCTGGGGCACCTGGCTGGCTCAGTCAGTTAAGCGACCAATTCTTGATTTTGGCTCAGGTCATGATCTCATGGTCGTAGATCAAGCCCTGTGTTGGGCTCCACACTGATTGTGTGGCCTACTTGGTACTTTCCCTCCCTCTCTCTTTGTCCCTCCCCTGCTCATGCTCTCTTTCTCTCTCTCTTTCTCTCAAAATAAATAAGTCTTAACACATAAAAAAATCTAAATTCCTCAGAGTGGCGTTCAGGGCCCGTCACAAACTGCTTGCTGCTTACTTCTGTCATATCCTCTGCTTCAGCCAAATCAAACAGCCCAGTTATCCAAACATGCTGGGTTCTTTGATATCACTATTTCTTCAAGCCCCTGTTGTGTTTCTTTGCTCGGGAAAACTCTTTACTGGCTAAGTTCTGCTAATCTTTCCAGATACTTCTGAATTCTCAGGGATCTTCTTTCTGATTCTTTCAGATTGAGTTAAGGGCATGTCTTGGTCATAGAGCTTTAAAATTGGATTTCAGTTGTTTGCTTTTCTTGTACTTAACTGGGAACTTTTGAGGGACAGGAATTCTGTGTTTCATCTGTATATCTCTCTCCTTTCTGGATGTTTCATTTATCTGAATTTTTCTCTGTCTGTGGCAAAGCTGAATCTTCTCTCCCTGTGAAATAGTAGTTCTTTAATACTGAGCGTTTTGGCCAGAGGCTCAAGGTACTCATTTATGAATTTAACAGTTACTTTTTTGAATTGTTCATACCGTGTCAAGGACGATGCTGTTTATTACTATTGGAAGGATATGAGAGTCAACCATCAGATAAAGAGTTATACTAGATGTAGCATTAAGTGGAAAAAATCTGGAGGAATAAAAAATTAAAGCAAGGATTTCTGAAAACTCAAGGTAGCACAGAGGCTATACCATGGTTTTATGAAGGTTATCACAAAGGAAGCAAAACTTAAAAGTATTTTTTGAATATGTATTTTGGCAGTTGGTATAGAAACGTTGAATGTAACTCAGTGATTATGGTAACCCCATCAATTTATATATCTTTTTAAAAAAGTTTATTTATTTTGAGAGAGAGAGGGAAAGAGAGGAAGAGAGAGAATCCCAAGCAGTCTCCACACTCAGCACAGAGCCCGATGTGGGGGTCCCTCTCACGAACTGTGAGATCATGACCTGAGTCAGAATCAAGAGTTGGGACGCTCAACTGACTGAGCCACCCAGGTGCCCCTAAGTTTATATATCTTAAGCTCAGAAAATAGCCCTCAGTGGTTTGCTTCCACAAAGTTCCTTCTGCCGTAATAGAAGGCAGATACTGCCACACTCCCTAGGAACTGGTGTGTGTAGACTTCTGGAGTTTTTATTTTATTCATATATTTAAACCTTCACCTCGGTTTATTCCTTCATATTCATATATTTAAACCTTCACCTCGGTAAATTAAATTGAACAAAATTTAATTTGTTTAAAAACATGCTGGAAATTTCTTAAGATAATTTAATGAATTCCAATTTTAGAACAATGTTAGAAATGCTAAGTTAGTCTTATATATGGACAACATATTTTATATGTAGAGCCTCTATACTGTCTCAGAAATAGGATCTAAAGGTGTTCCTTTTTCCTTTTGCTTTATTTGGAAAAGAGCAAAAACTAAAAGAAAAAAAAACACTTCTTATTTGAAAGTGGGGTAGGATATTATATGTAAAAAAAAGCCTCACAGCCATCCAGTCTTATCCTAGGCTGTTAACGTTTGGGCACTTACTAAATTGACTTCTTTCTAAAGTTATTTATAAATACTGTTGTTAAAACAATCTAGTGATGTGCTGTCTGCTATCTTTTATGATAACAACTTGAAAGGTTCCTTTCTGTACTAACTCTAGCTTTGGTCTGCTTTGATCTGTTTATTTATCACTTAATGTTTTATTTTCAAAAGCATCTGAGGCACATTGTTTTAAAAAAGTCAAACATTGGGTGCCTGGGTGGCTCAGTCATTTAAGCTCCTAACTTCAGCTCAGGTCATGATCTCATGGTTGGTGAGTTTGAGCCCCGCATCAGGCTCTCTACTGTCAGTGCAGTGCCCGCTTCAGATCCTCTGTCTCCCTCTCTCTCTGCCCCTCTCCCACCCTCATAAATGAATAAACATTAAAAAAAAAAAAAAAGTCAAACAGTATAGACATGCAATAAAAAGTGAAAGTTTCCTTTCAGTCTTGGGAGTAACCAGTCTGTGTTTTCCTTTATATTCTTCCAGATAACTGAAGTTTGGGTTAAATTATAACTTTTTTTTAATACAAAAAAAATGGGATCACACTTTCCACACTCTGTCACTTATATTTTCATTTACTAATGCTTTATTTCATAGCTGCTCTTCTCTATCACCACATGTAGGTCCATCCCAGGATTTCTACTGGCTGTATAATATTTCATGGAATGGATTTACTATGATTTAATAAGCCAGTTGTCCATTAGGTATCTCCAGTTTTCTTTTTTATTACAAATAATGCTGCAGTAATCATTTTCTCATCTTGTATACAGGCATGTATCTCTATAGGGTGATACTTGGACGTGTATATGCTTGGTTGGAGGTATTGCACATGTAAAATTTTGCTGCAATTTAAAAGTTTATATTTTATTCAAGACTTAAACAGTATTTAACCGTAAGCAAAAGTTCTGATTTGAAAGTCAACTCTTTTAAAAAGGAAAGGTGGATGGATTCCTTTCTTGAGGGCGCAATGAGATTACATAATTCAGGGAGGACTTTTTGTCATTGTTTTTCTTCTCATGTTTTAACCTGAATTTTATGTGGAATCTTTGAGAGAAAGTACTCCTTGGCCTTTCTGTTGCCTCAAAAAATAAATCTATGTTCTTATTGGTAGCATCTCCTTGATAATGCTGTTATTTCACTGGATGTTAATACTCGTTATGATGAACCATAATTTTAGCTTAATTCTATTCTGTACAATATGACATAGAATAGAATGGGGTAGCATCCGATGGGGTAACTTATCTTAAAAGAAATGCATGAAGTTGACTCTAATAATAAAATTTAAAACTGAGAGTATCCTTTTATATACATATTTGAAGTCCTTTTCTTGTAATCTTAAAAGCAGTTATAATTGTGCCTTATTGAATAAAAGAAAACTTACAGATGAAGCACATTTTCTTTTTCTTTTTTTCTTCATGTTTATTTATTTTTGAGAAAGCGAGAGCACGTGAGTGGGGGGGAGAGGCCAGAGAGATGGAGAATCCCAAGCCGGCTCCGTGGTGACAGTGTCGGGGTCCCTCCCGACATGGGGCCTGAACCCTTCAACTGCAGGATCGTGACTTGAGCCGAAACCAATAATTGGATGCTTAACTGACTGAGCCACTCAGGCGCCCCCACATTTTCTTTTTCTTAAAGGAGAAGCTAATTGATGCTACATACCTTACTTTTATGTGGGACGAGTAGGTTTCTGAAGTTCTTTCTGAAGTTCTTCCAGGGCCTTTCATGGAGCCACACACAATTAGGTATTTAGTACTCTTTTAGGCAATATCCCTGTTTAACTCAAGTTTCTTCACATACACCTTTGAGTCCACTTCACTCCAGCTGTTTTTATAGACATATCAAATTGCTATTTGAGAAATACCTTACAGATATTAGATTCATATTTAAAAAAATTTTTGTGTGATTATTCATTTTTGAAAGACAGAGAGAGACAGAGCACAAGCAGGGGTGGGCAGAGAGAGAGGGGGACACAGAATCTGAAATAGGCTTCAGGCTCTGAGCTGTCAGCACAGAGCCCGATGTGGGGCTCGAACTCAAAAACCACGAGATCATGACCTGAACTGAAGTCGGATGCTCAACTGACTCAGCCACCCAGGTGACCCTAGATTCATATTTAAAAGGCAAATGGGCTCATAGTCTTTACTGCTGTGAAATGTATTATAAACATCTGAGAACCTTAATAGTCAATTCATATATGGTTATATTATAGATATATATTGGAAGATAGGTATTTGTGTTTCATATAGAACTTTATTATTTATTCTGACGTACAGAAAATGACTTTTTAAAAAAATTCTAAGATTTCATAATCTTTCTAGTCTGACTTGTAAAGGCATATCTGCTAATCTTTTTATTTAGAAGATATACTTTCAAGGAGATGATAGTAATGTATTTTACAGATTATTTTGTTTTCTCTCTTTTTTACAGAAAACAAGCATCGTTATGGGTCCAAGGAGACATTTTCCGATCCAAACTGAAAAATAGACCATCCAATGAAGGGAGTATTAACAAAATTCTTTCTAGCTTGGATGATATGTCTATTGGTGGAAACTTATCTAAAACACAAAACGTGGAAAGATTTGGAGAGGTAAGTTTTCCTCTGGAAGATTTTCATGTCTCCTTAAGACTAATGTTCTGCATTTCTTTGTTTCCTAGCTGAACACATATAACATAGGAATATCTCCTTTCTGAGATGCTGAGAGTGCCAATATTTTTAGGTGTAGTTATCCACTGATAAGAATCAGAGCAAAGAAAGCAGTTATCCTTAAAAGTAAAAAAGCTGTAACTTAAGGAACACAATTGTAAAGGAGGGTACTCTGGTTTGGAGAGTATTTACAAAAAGGAAATAGAAAAACAAAGTTTCTATTTGGAGATGGAAATGGATATAAAGAGGAAAAAATTAATGTGACAATTGAAAAAATAATATATACCACAAGTGGTTTTGTGAAAGGCTCAAATGCATGTTGGTTTCTAAAGTCCAGAGTTGAAAACATAATTAGGGGCAATTTTTTTTTTTTTAAATGGAGGCTCTATATTATAAGCAAACCACTTTAAACTGGTAATATCCATGGTCTCATTTAATCTTTATAACTAACTGGTGAATTAGGCAGTATGACCTCCATTAAAAAGGGGGTTTTAAAATTTATTTGAGAGGGAGAGATAGAGAAAGAGAGAGAGAGGAGAGACAGTGGGGTGAGGGGCAGAGGGAAAGAGAGAGAGAATCCCAAGCAGACTCCATGTGGAGCCGGATGTGGGGCTCAATCCCACGATCCTGGGATCCTGACCTGAGCTGAAATCGAGTTGGACACTTAACTGACTGAGCCACCCAAGCACCCCTCTATTTTATAGTAAGGAAATTGAATGTCACCGAAGTTCTAACCTCTGTGATTCCATTCCACATCTATCTGATTCTGAATCTGTTTTTTCTGTTACACCCTGCTACCTAAAAATGGAAGTGACTTACAACAGGTAGGATCATGGGCATTTTTGGAGCTAGAAGCAACCTTGAAATCATTTGTTCCACTTCCCCTCTGGTGCGGATCAGAAACCAGGGCCCCACCAACTCTGTTCCTTGCTGAAGGTCACAGCATTAATAGTAGGACTACCTTGAGACTAGGAGTCTACCTCCTGGTTTAGCTTTTTCTACCACAATATGCCTGAGGTAAGCTAAGCGCTTGGTTTGTATTCATATTTTTATGTCCCTAAAGGAACAAAAAAAGCCGTTGAAAATATTTAAGCCACAAGTGTGGATTTACATCCTATTTGGATGTTTGACCCGGACAAGGGCCTTGAACAAAAGTCTGTGGTTCCGGCTTGGCCCTCAGGGAACCCCAAATGGAAGGAACACATCATAACTCTCTTAGGTCAACAAGTGGCATGCCAAACAGGTTTCTTTCACCGAGAAAGATAACCGGAGTGCTTATGCTAGGGAGAGTGGGCTTTCTTCAAGGACACAGGATGGGGACTGCCAGAAGAACCAATTTTTCAGCCCCATGGTCTCTACTCCAGGACAGCCACTGATGAAGCGGCCAAGTTTACTGGTGTGAGTCATCTGTCCTGACAACATGTCAATCTCAGCCAAGGTCATGTTGATGTTCACAGCCTTTGTTAACTTTTTCTTGTCTCTTTGTAGTAGTCTGGCCTATTCAAAGCAAACAAAAAGGATCTGAACTGACATTTTAATGTGATAATATAGCTAAGCAAGAATACTTTTCTTGCTCTGGTCAGCATTTCCTTCTTAGGGTTTGTTCAAGTAAACAGGACTTGGAGTTATGACCTCTGAAAAGAGGCACATACAATTTATCCATCTATCTGAGAAACGTATTTATCTTATGGGAATATAATGTTTCCTATGTCATAATCTGTATTAAACTAACATCTGGTAGTTAGAACATTTTGTTCTCATACTTTTTTAGATCTCTTTTAGTCGAATTTAAGAATAATTAACATTTATTTCTCACTAGAAGATGAAAAATGAAATATGATTGAAATTTAAAATGTCAATTTTATTTATTTATTTATTTATTTAAATAGGATTTATTGTCAAATTGGCTAACATACAGTGTGTAAAGTGTGCTCTTGGTTTTTGGGGTAGATTCCCATGGTTCATCGCTTACATATAACACCCAGTGCTCATCCCAACAAGTGCCCTCCTCAGTGCCCAGCACTCATTGTCCCCTCTCCCTCACCCTCCCATCCACCCTCAGTTTGTTCTCTGTGTTTTATAGTCTCTTATGGTTTTCCTCCCTCTCGTTTGAAATTATTTTTTCCCCTTCCCTTCCCCTGTAGTCTTCTGTTAAGTTTCTCAAGATCCACATATGGGTGAAAACATATGATGTCTGTCCTTCTCTGACCTACTAAAATAAGTCAGTTTTAAATATGAGCATGTGTTCAGGTATTGGGCAGTTTCTCTTCCTCTTCCTTATTCCCAGAACCCCCAATTTATTACTTTAACTCTAGCCATTCAGAAGTGTTATTATTTTTGAAATTAGAGTGCAGAAATGACAGAATTCAGAAATAACACTGAATGATGGTGCACTTAAGATCTCAGACAGTGACATATATGCAGGTTTGGGGCCATGTTATAGTTAGGTGATGCCCTGTATAAATACGAAGCCCTTTTCTCTCTATGCTTACCTAGTGCCAGCTCCAAAACATTACAGGAATAGGGGGAGTTAGTTTCCTCGAAAGCGAATGTAAGAGAGTTAATGATATCTTCGTCATTCTCATGAATTCCAAGTGGGAAAATAAGTTGAGAATGTTGCAAGGATTTTTACGTGTTTCAAGCTCCTTACCAATGTTCAGGATAGAAGTCCATGAAAATTCTGGATTTATTCATTTTGTGTGTAAAGGAAGTGCAAAAAGGGAGTATTCTTCTAGAGGTTGCTTTTTGTTTTTCCTTTTTAAAAGCAATATCAGGGGCGCCTGGGTGGCGCAGTCGGTTAAGCGTCCGACTTCAGCCAGGTCATGATCTCGCGGTCCGTGAGTTCGAGCCCCGCGTCAGGCTCTGGGCTGATGGCTCAGAGCCTGGAGCCTGTTTCCGATTCTGTGTCTTCCTCTCTCTCTGCCCCTTCCCCGTTCATGCTCTGTCTCTCTCTGTCCCAAAAA